GACCAGGTCTGGATGTCCACATGGGACCTCAGGTTTGGGGAGGGTAGCCATAAGTTACAGCCCAAATACATTGGTCTGTTCCAAGTGATGAAAAAGATCAATGATGTGACTTACAGATCTGCCAGCTCATTGCCCCGTCACCTGATGGAGTTCCACCGGAACTGCTGGAGGTGGAGGGCACACTGATCTGTGTTGTCCATCAGGTGCTGGACTCACAACAGCGTGGAGGGAATCTCCAGTATCTCATCGAGGGATACAAAACAGAGGAAAGGGTGCCAGCTAAGGACTTCCTGGACTCTGGGTTGGTTACACAGCACAGTAACACCTCCCAACACAGTAACACTCACAGTTCTACATCAGTAACACTCACAGCACCGTTAAACCTCACAGCTCTCTCACAGTAATATTAGTAAAATACAGCTGAAAGGTTTTCATGCACTGTTACAAACCTGTTCCACTAAACTCCACTACCTAATATTAAAGTAAACTGCATATGAATTGTCTATTTCACATATACTGTCTGTCAGCAATTAAAGGCCAAACAATTATAATGATTATAAAGGTAAACTACTTTTTGAATGTTTTTGAATAGACAAAACTGAACTAATTCTCGTCTGAGCTGAACTCGTTCCCAATTCCACTTTGTTATAAAACCACTGACAGTTGGCTGTGGAATATTTAGTAGCGAGGAAACTTCATGACTGGACTTGTTGCACAGGTGGCGTCCGATCATGGTACCACGCTGGAATTCACTGAGCTCCTGAGAGCGACCCATTCTTTCACTAATGTTTGTAGAAGCAGTCTGCAGGCCTAGGTGCTTGGTGTGTATATATATATATATATATATATATATATATATATATATATATATATATATATATATATATGATCAGATACTATAGCTTGAAAAACACATGAGAAACTTGCAATTGTGGAGCCAGATCCTCGCACACTCTTTTATGCTTGGAACAGTTGTTTATTTTGTTTCTTGACCTCATGCTCATTGTCAAGAATGGTGGCAAGTAAGGCTTGGATGTACTTGCATTTAGCTGACCATGCAAACTTCTTAATGCCTTCTCTTCACTTTCCTCCAGTCTGGAAAGACTGCATAGGATTCAGGATTGCAGGGTTGCACCATATGGGTCAATGCTAGACTTTTGTGATTGGAAGATACACTGCCTTCAATTATGGCTCTGACTTCTGGGCCAGAACACTGAATGAGCCAGCGAGCTGGGAGACCATCCAGTATATTAGAGCCAAGTTGAAAATGTTGTCTGACTGGGGTGTGGATAATCAGGTTGATCAGGCGTGGTGTTCTGTGTCAATGGTGCAACAGTTCCTGCAGAACCTGTTGGATACTGATCATTCTTTATCTATGCTTGGTGATGTATGTGTTGATATGCATTTGTATGTTTAAAGATATGTATGTTAAAGATATGCATCTGTATGTTTGTAGTCTGATGATAGCAAAGACTTGAAGACGAATAACTTGTTGGCATGTAAAGGTGACATCTAATTGTAGCTTTGGAGATTTTGTGATGCCTGCAAGTTAAGCTTTGGAAAAAATAGTCTTTTGTAAAGAAAACAGCCTAAAAACATCAACCTAAAACATTTCCAAAACTAAATATGAATTTTAGGTCTTCTTATTTTGGACTAGTTAAAAGAGCTGTACAAAAAAAGGGAGGAAGAATGCATGCAAGGCAATGTAGTCCCCAGTTTCAGATTTTCCACTATTTTACCATTAGTATTCCATATAAGCTCAGAAGACTCGTGTAGGTTCACTGGTGGTTTTGGATAGTAAATAAAATGTCTATATCTGTGTTGTAGTCATGGCGACCCCTGGTTCCTATCACCACCACTGTAAAGACATCTGAACCATTTCACACCAAACCACTCTGAATCACTCTGATTACATCAGAAACACTGAGTTATGAGGAAACATTAAACACACTATCTAATCTCACCAGCAGTGGGCGGTCTGTTCACATGTAATAACACACAGAGCAACCTGTAATAATAATAATGACTGTGATGATTAAGGCACAGTTTTTCATCTGTTTTCATTGGATACTACAGGTGCTGGTGTAGAACATTCTGTCATGACCTGGTCTAGCAAAATATACAAAAGTGGATGTGGAAGATGGAAAAACACCAGTCACTATTATTAGGTTTAAAGTTTTAATCTGTTCACACGGAACACTGGCAATAGACTTCAGGGGTGACCCAGACCAACACAACAAACAAAACCCACACTAGGTCAGCAAACCCAACTGCGGTGGTTTTTTAGGGCCACTGTTAACACAAATTAAAAATAGTAGACTTTGAGAAAAAAATCATAATATTTACAGAAAAAAGTCATAATATTTGGAGGATAAAGTGGTCTAACGGTAGGGGGCCTGCCATAACGCATTGGGGTCTCAGTTGCTGTACTGTAGGGGGCTGTCATAACGCGTTGGGGTCTCGGTTGCTGTACTGTAGGGGGGCTGCCATAACGCGTTGGGGTCTCGGTTGCTGTACTGTAGGGGGCTGTCATAACGTGTTGGGGTCTCGGTTGCTGTACTGTAGGGGGGCTGCCATAACGCGTTGGGGTCTCGGTTGCTGTACTGGTGCCGGAGCTCCACTCACTCCTGTCTCTCTGTGGATCATGTTGATCATCATTCTCACTGTCTGTGAAACTTCATGCCCTCTTTGAATGGGGGGAGATGTAGCCCCCGATAGCTCACTGACTCACTATAACATATTAAAAATATACACAGCTACCAGTTTTACAGGGGACAAGCTAAAACAAAGTCTAATACAAGCAAATTCAACAACAAGCAAAATATGGCAAAGGATTGAGTTTTAACAAAGTGTACAAGTGGCAAAACCGAGGGTAAGATGAGGAAGTTTCCTTCTGAGGGTCCTGATGGTGCCTTTTAAATATTGTATTTAAGACGATTTTGGTGCCAATGTCCAGAGGCACTTTAATCAGTGAGGAACCCTCAGGGCCTTCTAGTTCTTCAGAAGTCTAATGATTTTTGATGATATGATGAATGTCTAATGATGAACTTTTAGTTCTTATTTACAACCCCAATTCCAAAATAGTTGGGACGCTGTGTAAAATGTAAATAAATGTAAATAATAATAGAATGCAATGATTTGCAAATCTCATACACCCATATTTCATTCACAGTAGAACATAGAACACATATCAGATGTTGAAAGTGAGGCATTTTACCATTTCATGAAAAACACTAACTCATTTAGAACTTGATGGCAGCAACGTGTTTCAAAAAAGTTGGGACAGGGCCGTGTCTACCATTGTGTAGCATCCCCTCTTCTTTAACAACAGTCTGTAAATGTCTGGGAAGTGAGGAGACCAGTTGCTGGAGTTTTGGGAGAGGAATGTTGGCCCATTCTTGTCTGATGTAGGACTCTAGCTGCTCTACAGTCCTGGATCCCCTTTTCAGATTTTTCATTTCATGATGCGCCAAATGTTTTCTGTTGGTGAAAGGTCTGGACTGCAGGCAGGTCAGTTCAGCACCCGGACTCTTCTTCTGTGAAGCCATGCAGCCATGCATGATGGATGCAGTATGTGGTTGATTGTCTTGCTGAAATACGCAAGGCCTTCCCTGAAAGAGACGCTGTCTGGATTGGAGCACATGTTATTCTAAAACCTCTATATACTGTTCAGCGTTGATAGAGCCTTTCCAGATGAGTAAGCTGCCCACGCAATAGGCACTAATGCAGCCCCAGACCATCAGAGATGCAGGCTTTTGAACCGTACGCTAATAACAAGCTGGATGGTCCCTCTCCTCTTGAGTCCATAGATTTAAATTTCTGATTCATCTGACCACAGAACAGTTTTCAATTTTGCCTCAGTCCATTTTAAATGAGCTTTGGCCCAGAGAAGATGGTGGTGTTTCTGGATCGTGTTGACATATGGCTTCTTCTTCTTGAGGGACCAGGTGAGATCATCAGAGATGTGGATACCAAGTTCCTCAGCTCCGCTGATGTAGGTGGTGGAGTGTGTCTGGCTCCTGCCCCTCCTGAAGCCCATTATGATCTTCTTGGTTTTATGGCTGTTGAGCACCAGGTTGTTGTCATCATACCATGCCGTAAGGTGCTGCACCTCGTCCCTGTAGACCATCTTATCTCATTGTCACCTCTGATCAGACCCATCACCGTGGTGTCATGGGTGAACAGGGAGTACAGAAGAGGGCTCAGCACACAGCCTTGTGGCACACCGGTGTTTAGGGTGATGGGGAAGAGTAGAGTTTGTCTAACTTAACAGACTGAGGTCTGTTAGCCAGAACAGCTGGCTAAGCTTTAAGATCAGCTTGGAGTCAGGACCCCCATGGACCCTCACAGAGCAGGTACTATTTGGGTGGTGGGTCATTCACAGCACTGCAGTAACACTGACGTGGTGGTGTGTTAGTGTGTGTTGTGCTGGTACGAGTGGATCAGACACAGCAGTGCTGCTGGAGTTTTTAAACACTGTGTCCACTCACTGTCCACTCTATTAGACATGTCAGTCCACCTTGTAGATGTAAAGTCAGAGACGATAGCTCATCTGCTGCTGCACAGTCTGTGTTGGTCATCCTCTAGTCCTTCATCAGTGGTCACAGGACGCTGCCCACAGGACGCTGTTGGCTGGATGTTTTTGGTTGGTGGACTATTCTCAGTCCAGCAGCGACACTGAGGTGTTTAAAACTCCAGCAGCACTGCTGTGTCCAAAAACAATCCAGACTTAGCTGCTAGCTTTCACTAATGCAGTTTACTAGCTAGTCTTAATTAATGTTAATGAAACACCTTTTTTGTGTTCATGTGCACATTTGTGATCTGTTACATTATCAGACACTCATACTGTAACTTTAGAGAATACCTGTTCTAATGTTAGCTGCAGGGCAGAAAGCTTTGTGGCAGAATCTTCGCAAAATGAAAGGGAGAACTCAAAGCAAAGTTTGCTTGCTTGTTTACTGCAGCACTGCAGTTAAAGGGAAGAGAAGCAGATGACAAACTATGAGAAATATTATATATTTATTAGAATCGCCCCTTGCATGACAAAAAAGTTACATTTTTTTTTTATTTGACCACCTCACACGATTCCGTTTGGAGCTCCAGTTCAGGCGCTGCATTTTGTGGCTTCTTCTTTCGTGGAATTCTTCCAAAAAGCTTCAGGTTACGGAGGCAGAATCTGATAGTGGACTTTGAAGTGAACCTCAGACAAAAGAAAATCACATATGGGCCCTTTAAGAAGAGGTCAGTATCCTGCAGCTATGGCCTTCTTCCGCGAGTCTGAAACAGCCTCGATACATTCTCCATTTTTCTTCGATAGTGCGTTGACTGCATTTTGGTAAATAGGGATTTTGTGCCCGAGTACTCTTAGAGCCACCCTGACCTCCTGAAGGAGAGAGACATACAAGAACGCAGTAAACAGAGTTTATAAATGTCTTATAAACTGTATTAGCATTTTGCTCTTTATTGTATGAACTACTGGTTAAGCTGAATGGCCCAGGATTCAGGCCTCACAGTTTTCGTACCTTGTCGAATTCGCACTCAAAATTGAGATCCTTTTTGTCGATCGCAGTCACGACGGGTGCAGAGATGGAATCATTCAGATTCTTCCCGAACCACAGGAAGTTCATTAGCGCCTGTTATGACAGTAGGGCGAGGTAGATTGACATCAGAACACAGCTAGAACGACTACAAAAGTCCACTTGCACTTGCTTTACAATACTGTGCTTCATAGCAAGCAAAAATTCTGACTCAACTTCAGTGTGTATTACGGCCCCTTCAATCCATTTCTGGGGCTGGTTGTGCCAACAAGGTTTACAAATGATCATGAATCAAGTTGTCATAACTTTCTTTGAGGAACTTTAAACTTGCATGTGCTCGAAGTAGCCTAGGGATGCTATATCAGCACAGCTATAATGTCTCTCACAGCACAGCACACAAACATTTACTTTTGTTCCCTGTGGCTAAAATCAGGTTCGTATAGTACGCAACAAAGTCACTTGCCAGCAAAAATGCCACACAATTGAGTTTATTGCAAATGCCCACTGAATTGCTTAAATCACTATGCAAATATGAATGTACTACTAGTTCAATTACATGTAGTTCAGTACTCCCCAGTACTGCGAATAAATCACACAAATAAGTCGCTTTTGGTGCATAAAGACATTTAGTTCTATTGATGATGCAACAGCTGTACATTCCTCTCTAAAATATGATTTTAGTTACAACTGACTAAGCAGTTAAGATCTGCAGGGACAAAAACTCACCATGCTCATCCCAGTGGTGATCATCGTACCCCCTGAGCCTCCAATGACCACAGTGTGGTTTGTAACTTTGGAGCGAATGATCATCGTAGCCGTGGACGAGGGAGGACGTTCACCTACACACGCAGAGCTCTTTTATGTCAGATATGAAATGCTGTGTTTCTATGGAATTTTATTATACAGTCTCCATATAAGATAACTCACCAGCTTGAACCTTGTCTATTTGCTTGCAGAAGTCTGTCAGCATGTTGTTGAGGATGATGCCTGTTTTGGCTGAATAAACTCCAGACCCGAATCTAAAAGGGGAGAGGTTACATAAGAATGTAGCAATACAGCACGGTTGTAATACAGATGTAATATATATAATGTCAATAAAACCTTATTGTACTGATACTACATGACACAAGGGGGAGGGTGTTTCTGAGAATAATACCACGATACATCACTGGCATGTTACTTGCCATAAAGACCTATGACAACCCTGGGGTCTTGTCCCTGTTGGCTGCGCCTGGTACACCCCCACCGGAAGGCGTCCAGGGGGCATCCAGATCAGATGCCCGAACCACCGCAACTGGCTCCCCTCAGTGTGGAGGAGTAGCAGCTCTACTCCGAGCTCCTCCCAGATGACCGAGCTCCTCACCCTATAAGTAGAGTGTAGCCACCACCCTCATTCCCGCCGCTTGTATTTGTGATCTCATTCTTTCGGTCATTACCCAAAGCTCATGACCACAGGTGAGGGTGGGGATGTAGACTGACCAGTAAAGAGAGAGCTTTGCCTTATGGCTCAGCACCTTCTTCACCGCTACAGTCCGGTACAGTGACCTCATTACTGCTGCCGCCTGACCGATAAAACTGTGTGAATATCAGGTTGAGCTCAGCTTTTTCAGATTAGGCTGAATGTGGTTTCATTCCATTCAGTCTGTAAAGTGTTTCACAGCCTGTCTTATTTGCTGAATTGCATTCTTTGGTTTCTAGCTGATTCCAGTTTGTTTAGTTGTTAAGCTGCTGACTGAAAATCTTACACAGGTAGGATCACCGAAAGATATATATATATATATATAGTGGCAAGGAAAACTCCCTAAGAGAAACAGGAAGAAACCTTGAGAGGAACCAAGACTCAGAAGGGGAACCCATCCTCCTGGTCGACACTGGATAGTAATCATTGTTAGTACAAAAACAGGGAAAACAGGTGGAGCAAATGGTTAATTAGATTAGTTTAGTTCATGCAGCAGCAGCAGCAGCAGCAGCAGCAGTGGGGTCAGGTTGTGAGGGTGAGGTTCGCACAGTGTTGTACAGCATTAAGCTCAATGGAGGTCAAGCCGGTCCAGAGGGCTGGCGAGCAGTGGCACCCGATCAAGACAGAAGAGGCAGCAGCATCAGACACACAGGATGGGCAGCTGAGTCTGAGTCCCGAACATTAACAGGAAGACTATTCCAAAGCTGGGGGGCTTTGTAGGAGAAGCTCCGCCCCCTGATGTAGCTTCATTAATTCTAGGGACTAATAGTGAGCAGCACCTTGTGATCTAAGTAGGCGTGATGGTTCATAGTGAGAGAGATGTTCACTCAGGTACTGAGGGGCGAGTCCGTTTACAGCTTTATAGGTCAGTAAGAGAATTTTATAATCAATGCAAAATTTAACTGGTAACCAGTGTAAGGCTGATAAAACTGGGCTGAAGTGGTCAAACTTTCTGGTTCTAGTAAGAACTCTGACTGCAGTGTTCTGGACCAACTGAAGCTTGTTAAGGCTTTTGCTGGGACATCCAGCCAGCAGGGCATTACAGTAATCTAGCCTTGAAGTAATAAATGCATGAACTAGCTTTTCTGCATCCTGTAGAGAGAATGCATTTCTCAATTTAGCAATATTGCGGAGATGCAGGAAGGTTGTTCTAGTAATATTAGTTATGTGTGCGTCGAAGGACGGATCAAGATCTATCATCTCACCAAGGCTTTTTACAGATGAGCTTGATGCAACTGAGAAATTGTTAAATTTAAGTGTTAAAGTAGACAGTTTGTTTCTGGCTGCTTTTGGACCAAGAAGTAGAACCTCTGTTTTATCCGAGTTAAGTAGGAGAAAGTTACTCGACATCCAGTCTTTTATGTCTTTTATACAGTCCTCAATCATCAGCATAACAGAGTGTCATCAGCATAACAGTGGAAATTTATGCCGTGTTTACTGATAATGGTGCCCAGTGGTAGCACATATACAATGTGAATAATACAGGTCCTAAAACAGAGCCTTGTGGAACACCATACTTTACTTTTGCGATGGTGATGATTCACCATTTATATTAACAAACTGATAGTGATCAGTGAGGTAGGACCTGAACCATGGAAAGAGCTATTCCTGTTATCCCTATCTAGTAAGATAGCGTGGTCTATCGTGTCAAATGCCGCACTAAGATCGAGGAGGACTAGCAAGGACACATTTCCTTGGTCAGAGAATAATAATAGATCATTTACAATTTTTACTAGTGCTGTCTCTGTACTATGATGTGGCCTAAAACCAGACTGAAATTTTTCATGGATTTGATTCCTATGCAAATAGGAGCTTAGTACAGCGATTTTTATCACGGGGAAGGGTGTTTTCAGGCACGATTATATTAGAAATAATTATCTATATAAACAAGTATTCCGCCAAGAAATGTATTTGCTTTAGTGTATGGTATTGTTGCTAAGCAACCATGGACCGCTGAATGAGGAGAACATTTGGTTGCCCATCGCTGTATGTTGCGGTCATTTCATTAATGCTTTAACTTTTTGTTGTTTAACAATGAACATATGAGAACACAGCACTGTTTAATGCAAAAACCTTCACTTTATAAGTACTTTTTGGTCACTAAATTACCAGCATAATTCTTATTTAGCACCAATCCAGCGGCGCCCTCTTCCCACGCTGGGGCTGAATCTGACATGGCGATACATGATGCACTGTTTGGCTGTAGAGGCTAGAATTTCTAAACTTTCATAGCTAGAACACTATTTAGGGAGTACAGAGCTGTTTGGGATTCAGCCTGGGTTTGACGCGACCTCTGACTGAAACACGGACATTTGAAGAGTGTAAGTTCATTTTTTAGACTGTTATATTGCAGTTTTCATACAGTTAATCGTATCGTGAGTACTTTAATTAAAGCCTGTGATATTAATGATGCAGTAGTTTAGGTTGTTGGCTCTTTTAGCCTGTTAGCTAGCTGACCAGCCTAGTTCTAGTTAAGAACATAAGTTGTCAGCCCCTCAGTTTAAACAGGTTCTTACAGGTTCTTACTTCATCAGTACACTCGGTCCATGTGTGCAACATAAGAGTCAAGGATTATTCATTGACAGCCCAAGGGTTTTTTCATGTCGTGGCGCAGTGATACTGAGTTCAGCTGTTGTGAGGTGGTCATACAACGGCTTTGAATACAGCTCAGCCAGTCAGATTTTAGGACCAGGAATATATATTACTACCCAACATGTAAGAGAGTATTGATCAACATGAATTTAACATAATGAAAGTGGATTTTGCTCACATAAAGTTGATGGAGCTGGTGACGGACACAGCCATTCCGTCCTTATCAAGAACGGATATGTGAGTTGTGCCCAGTGTGTCCACGGGTGGAGTAACGCTGTAGTACTCAGGATCGTGGGTTCTGTCATCTGTGATCTTCTTTCTAATGTCGTCAGCAAACTCCTTCTGAATGATTTTATAGGCGTCCTGTTTAACACAAACACATGATTATGAAAAGGGCTACGTCTACAGGGAATACCACCCACAGCTCCCAACCACTGCCTCCACCATTGTATTTACTGTGTGTAGACTCTTTGCCGAGACCTGACTCAAACTTGCACTTCAGAGACTCAAGACTTGCTTCAGACTCACACCTCAGAGACTCAAGACTCAACTCAGACTCACACCTCAGAGGCTCAAGACTCAACTCAGACTCACACCTCAGAGACTCGACTTGGACTTGCACCTCAGGGACTTGAGACTTGACTCAGACTCATCTCTCAGAGACTCAAGACTCGTCTCAGACTCACACCTCCGACTTGAGACTCAACTCAGACTCTCATCTCAGAGACTCAAGACTTAACTCGGACTCGCACCTCAGAGACTTGAGACTTAGCTCGGACTTGCATCTCAGAGACTTGAGACTTGACCCGGACTTGCACTGCAGAGACTCGAGACTCGTCTCAGACTCACTCCTCAGAGACTCAAGGCTCAACTCGGACTTGGACCTCAAAGACCTGTGACTTGTCTTGGATTCACGTCTCAGATACTCAAGATTTGACTCAGACTCGCACTTTAGAGACTCGAGACTTGACTCAGAGACTCAAGACTTGACTCAGACTCACATCTCAGAGCCGTAAGATTTGACTCACATGAAGCAACTTACGAACATCTGTTTTTTGTGCAGATGCACACTTTCAATCTAACATAATGTTTTAGATTGATCCCCTGGACTGGAGCCCACAAGGTCAGTACCATCTGCTTGCTTTTCGCTGGATGTTACGGTTGCTGGGGATGACTAACTACTAGATTATTCTGTGGTTCTGCTCACCAAATACTCTGGCAGATTTTAATCAGTTAAAGAATGTTTTTGGTCATTTGTGTTATGTTTACTTCCACTTCCAGTAAATCAAGAGTTGTGTTTGTGGATTAGCCTGTTAAGAGTGGCTTTCTGACTGTAACTGTCTAAAAATGCCATCATGACTTTCAGTAAATTATTTATTTCTACTTAATTAATTTTGTATATTCTGCTGCCTGAAGTAATAACGGAGCTGAATAGTGCTGTCATTACTTCACTACAGATACGGGTGCAGATAAACGTCCTGAGTCAACCACAGGCAAACAAATTGTTCTGCTCCCCACAAATTCTAGCAAACTCACCGTTATGTCGTTGAATCTGGGGTCTCTCATGAACTTCCTCAGTCCTTTAGCAAACTTACAGGCCTCTATGTAGCGATGGTAGGTCAGCACACGCTCTTTTCTTTCTAGAGATGCTGGGGTTGGTTTATAGCCTGGAGAACACACAGAACAACATCTGTATCAACCTGTTCAATTTGGGTTCTTGTGTGTGTCCCATTTCACAAATATGCAAAAGCACTGTGTTCACAGTTCAACACACTGGTGAAGTTTTGACCCTTTAGCCTCGTTCATTTTTTATTTTGGAAATAGAAAGTTTTTCAGCGTCCACATGGAGTTTTACACTCTGTATCCACTCACTGTCCACTCTATTAGACACTCCTACCTTGTCAGTCCACCTTGTAGATGTAAAGTCAGAGACGATAGCTCATCTGCTGCTGCACAGTTTGCGTTGGTCATCCTCTAGTCCTTCATCAGTGGTCACAGGACGCTGCCCACAGGACGCTGTTGGCTGGATGTTTTTGGTTCTCAGTCCAGCAGCGACACTGAGGTGTTTAAAACTCCAGCAGCACTGCTGTGTCTGATCCACTCGCACCAGCGCAAGACACCACCACCACGTCAGTGTCACTGCAGTGTTGAGAATGACCCACGACCCAAATAATACCTGCTCTGTGGGGGTCCTGACCACTGAAGAACAGGGTATCAAAGTATGCAGAGAAACAGATGGACCACAGTCTGTAACTGTAGAACTACAAAGTGCACCCATATGGTCAGTTGAGCGTAGATACATGTAGGTGGACCTAATAAAGATGCTTTATAAGTGTCCCTCAGTGGAGGAAAATAAAATATAAGAAAAAGTGTAGAATGCATTAATGAGATACAGTCCACTTAACTGAGGAACACTGGGTCAGCTGAAACTGCCAACAAAATATCTGTAAAATATCTACAGAAAATCATTAACTAATAATTTATCTTACCTTCCATAACATTGAGGATGAAACTGACCAACGCTCCCCCTGAAGGCGGAGGTGGGAAGTACATGGTGTAATTGCCCAGAGACACATTCCAGGCCTCCGACTCAGTCACCTCAACTGAGCGCAGATCCTCCAGAGTGAGAGTACCACCTTAAACACACCACACATCAGATAATGTACACACACACAAGAGCTCGCAGACACCTGGGAGCCACTCTACTCGTACCTGGACTTGAGACACAAAGGCTTCTGACGGACTTTTTCTGTCAATTATTTGTAAATAATTGCATGAACTCAGCTCAGATCCTCTGTCATCACTGAAGTCTTAGAAGCATTTCAAAAACAAGGCAAAAGTAATCAAACACTCTGCTTTCTCCATGATAAACCAATAGCGTGTTTGTTTAGTCTTCCTCATTAGCATAATGGTGGAGGACGTCTACAAATCTAAAATAAATCTAAAAATAAATAAATACACAAATGAATAAACATAAAAGTACCTAATTGCTTTATTTATTTTCGTAAATAAATACGTATCATCCGCTATACAAGAGTGATGAAAAGCAACAAGCAGTGCCAAACTGGATGCCTGAGTGTTGGTTAGTGGGGGGGGCAGTAGTAAGATGGGTAGAGGGAACAGTAGGAGGAAAAGCACAAAATTTCACAAACTAAAAAGTGGGATAGAAGTATATACCTAGTATACCTAGTATGCTAAAAGCATATTCAAGTTCACTTTCAGTATAGTATGCAGTAGGGGTTGCACAGACTAGTCAACTTTACTGCTCACCAATGACACTTTAACCTTGATGTCAACAAGACACATAATAACTGATCATGTTGATTTATCAGTCTACTCAGGCTTTGGCAGAGCTCAGTAACACAGATTAATAACCGATCACATTGATTTATCAGTCTACTCAGGCTTTAGCAGAGCTCAGTAACGCTGAGATTAATAACCGATCACATTGATTTATCAGTCTACTCAGGCTTTAGCAGAGCTCAGTAACGCTGAGATTAATAACCGATCACATTGATTTATCGGTCTACTCAGGCTTTAGCAGAGCTCAGTAACACAGATTAATAACCGATCACATTGATTTATCAGTCTACTCAGGCTTTAGCAGAGCTCAGTAACACAGATTAATAACTGATCACATTGATTTATCAGTCTACTCAGGCTTTAGCAGAGCTCAGTAACACTGAGATTAATAACCGATCACATTGATTTATCAGTCTACTCAGGCTTTAGCAGAGCTCAGTAACACTGAGATTAATAACCGATCACATTGATTTATCAGTCTACTCAGGCTTTAGCAGAGCTCAGTAACACTGAGATTAATAACCGATCACATTGATTTATCGGTCTACTCAGGCTTTAGCAGAGCTCAGTAACGCTGAGATTAATAACCGATCACATTGATTTATCAGTCTACTCAGGCTTTAGCAGAGCTCAGTAACGCTGAGATTAATAACCGATCACATTGATTTATCAGTCTACTCAGGCTTTAGCGGAGCTCAGTAACACTGAGATTAATAACCGATCACATTGATTTATCAGTCTACTCAGGCTTTAGCAGAGCTCAGTAACACAGATTAATAACCGATCACATTGATTTATCAGTCTACTCAGGCTTTAGCAGAGCTCAGTAACACAGATTAATAACCGATCACATTGATTTATCAGTCTACTCAGGCTTTAGCAGAGCTCAGTAACGCTGAGATTAATAACTGATCACACTGATTTATCAGTCTACTCAGGCTTTAGCAGAGCTCAGTAACACTGAGATTAATAACCGATCACATTGATTTATCGGTCTACTCAGGCTTTGGCAGAGCTCAGTAACACAGATTAATAACTGATCACACTGATTTATCAGTCTACTCAGGCTTTAGCAGAGCTCAGTAACGCTGAGATTAATAACCGATCACATTGATTTATCGGTCTACTCAGGCTTTAGCAGAGCTCAGTAACACTGAGATTAATAACTGATCACATTGATTTATCAGTCTACTCAGGCTTTAGCAGAGCTCAGTAACACAGATTAATAACCGATCACATTGATTTATCGGTCTACTCAGGCTTTAGCAGAGCTCAGTAACACTGAGATTAATAACTGATCACATTGATTTATCAGTCTACTCAGGCTTTAGCAGAGCTCAGTAACACTGAGATTAATAACCGATCACATTGATTTATCAGTCTACTCAGGCTTTAGCAGAGCTCAGTAACACAGATTAATAACCGATCACATTGATTTATCAGTCTACTCAGGCTTTAGCAGAGCTCAGTAACGCTGAGATTAATAACCGATCACATTGATTTATCAGTCTACTCAGGCTTTAGCAGAGCTCAGTAACACTGAGATTAATAACCGATCACATTGATTTATCAGTCTACTCAGGCTTTAGCAGAGCTCAGTAACACTGAGATTAATAACCGATCACATTGATTTATCGGTCTACTCAGGCTTTAGCAGAGCTCAGTAACACTGAGATTAATAACCGATCACATTGATTTATCAGTCTACTCAGGCTTTAGCAGAGCTCAGTAACACTGAGATTAATAACCGATCACATTGATTTATCAGTCTACTCAGGCTTTAGCGGAGCTCAGTAACACTGAGATTAATAACCGATCACATTGATTTATCAGTCTACTCAGGCTTTAGCAGAGCTCAGTAACACTGAGATTAATAACCGATCACATTGATTTATCGTCTACTCAGGCTTTAGCAGAGCTCAGTAACACTGAGATTAATAACCGATCACACTGATTTATCGGTCTACTCAGGCTTTAGCAGAGCTCAGTAACACTGAGATTAATAACCGATCACATTGATTTATCGGTCTACTCAGGCTTTAGCAGAGCTCAGTAACGCTGAGATTAATAACCGATCACATTGATTTATCGGTCTACTCAGGCTTTAGCAGAGCTCAGTAACGCTGAGATTAATAACCGATCACATTGATTTATCGGTCTACTCAGGCTTTAGCAGAGCTCAGTAACGCTGAGATTAATAACCGATCACATTGATTTATCAGTCTACTCAGGCTTTAGCAGAGCTCAGTAACGCTGAGATTAATAACCGATCACATTGATTTATCAGTCTACTCAGGCTTTAGCAGAGCTCAGTAACACTGAGATTAATAACCGATCACATTGATTTATCAGTCTACTCAGGCTTTAGCAGAGCTCAGTAACACTGAGATTAATAACCGATCACATTGATTTATCAGTCTACTCAGGCTTTAGCAGAGCTCAGTAACACTGAGATTAATAACCGATCACATTGATTTATCAGTCTACTCAGGCTTTAGCAGAGCTCAGTAACACTGAGATTAATAACTGATCACATTGATTTATCGGTCTACTCAGGCTTTAGCAGAGCTCAGTAACACTGAGATTAATAACTGATCACATTGATTTATCGGTCTACTCAGGCTTTAGCAGAGCTCAGTAACGCTGAGATTAATAACCGATCACATTGATTTATCGGTCTACTCAGGCTTTAGCAGAGCTCAGTAACGCTGAGATTAATAACCGATCACATTGATTTATCAGTCTACTCAGGCTTTAGCAGAGCTCAGTAACACAGATTAATAACCGATCACATTGATTTATCAGTCTACTCAGGCTTTAGCAGAGCTCAGTAACACTGAGATTAATAACCGATCACATTGATTTATCGGTCTACTCAGGCTTTAGCAGAGCTCAGTAACGCTGAGATTAATAACCGATCACATTGATTTATCAGTCTACTCAGGCTTTAGCAGAGCTCAGTAACACTGAGATTAATAACCGATCACATTGATTTATCAGTCTACTCAGGCTTTAGCAGAGCTCAGTAACACTGAGATTAATAACCGATCACATTGATTTATCAGTCTACTCAGGCTTTAGCAGAGCTCAGTAACGCTGAGATTAATAACCGATCACATTGATTTATCAGTCTACTCAGGCTTTAGCAGAGCTCAGTAACACTGAGATTAATAACCGATCACACTGATTTATCAGTCTACTCAGGCTTTAGCAGAGCTCAGTAACACTGAGATTAATAACCGATCACATTGATTTATCGGTCTACTCAGGCTTTAGCAGAGCTCAGTAACGCTGAGATTAATAACCGATCACATTGATTTATCGGTCTACTCAGGCTTTAGCAGAGCTCAGTAACGCTGAGATTAATAACCGATCACATTGATTTATCAGTCTACTCAGGCTTTAGCGGAGCTCAGTAACGCTGAGATTAATAACCGATCACATTGATTTATCAGTCTACTCAGGCTTTAGCGGAGCTCAGTAACGCTGAGATTAATAACCGATCACATTGATTTATCGCTCTACTCAGGCTTTAGCAGAGCTCAGTAACGCTGAGATTAATAACCGATCACATTGATTTATCGCTCTACTCAGGCTTTAGCAGAGCTCAGTAACGCTGAGATTAATAACCGATCACACTGATTTATCAGTCTACTCAGGCTTTAGCAGAGCTCAGTAACGCTGAGATTAATAACCGATCACATTGATTTATCAGTCTACTCAGGCTTTAGCAGAGCTCAGTAACGCTGAGATTAATAACCGATCACATTGATTTATCGGTCTACTCAGGCTTTAGCAGAGCTCAGTAACGCTGAGATTAATAACCGATCACATTGATTTATCGGTCTACTCAGGCTTTAGCAGAGCTCAGTAACGCTGAGATTAATAACCGATCACATTGATTTATCGGTCTACTCAGGCTTTAGCAGAGCTCAGTAACGCTGAGATTAATAACCGATCACATTGATTTATCGGTCTACTCAGGCTTTAGCAGAGCTCAGTAACACTGAGATTAATAACCGATCACATTGATTTATCAGTCTACTCAGGCTTTAGCAGAGCTCAGTAACACTGAGATTAATAACCGATCACATTGATTTATCAGTCTACTCAGGCTTTAGCAGAGCTCAGTAACACTGAGATTAATAACCGATCACATTGATTTATCAGTCTACTCAGGCTTTAGCAGAGCTCAGTAACACTGAGATTAATAACCGATCACACTGATTTATCAGTCTACTCAGGCTTTAGCAGAGCTCAGTAACACAGATTAATAACCGATCACATTGATTTATCAGTCTACTCAGGCTTTAGCAGAGCTCAGTAACACTGAGATTAATAACCGATCACATTGATTTATCGGTCTACTCAGGCTTTAGCAGAGCTCAGTAACACTGAGATTAATAACCGATCACACTGATTTATCGGTCTACTCAGGCTTTAAAAGAAACCCTAGTTTTTGTAAAGAAGCCTGTTCTGAGTTCTTCTTTAGAGTATGTCTTTACATGCTGTGTGCTGATTGTGAAATAGTTAATAAACAAGATTTCATGGTGTTTCTTTGAAAGAGTACCTACTTGGGCCCTGTAGTGGTTCCTGCCAATAGTGAACTTGACACCAATACCAACAATTGGTATTCATTGTTACAAGGTGTTCATTGTTACATATTGTTATTGCCTTACTGTTATATCAATAACTTGTTATTGTTTTATTTATTTATGTTTATAAATGTTTTATTACCTGCTTCCTGTATGTCACTGATCAGGTCTCTGGCTGTTTCTCCTGTGTAGAACTCCTCTGCTCCACGCTCTGCTATCTTCTCCAGGGTGTCTGCAAGTTTCTCATACTTCACAGTGTCTCCTTCCATCAGCATGTTCCCGTCCGCGTCCACGAACAGCTGCCTGAGAAAGAGGAGAAACCCACAGTGATTCCCACAGCGGTTAGAGGGTGTAATCAGGGCTGGAAATTGGCCGGAACACACTGGAAGCCCGTTTCAGAATTAAAGGTCGAGACGGAACTGTGTTCCGGCTCAGATCTCATAAACCTAGGTAACTATAGAGAGCACATCAGTGCGATCGACAGAGAGCAGCACACCTTAGAACTTCAGATCGAGCAGCGTCCAAACTTTACTTGAATTACTTGGAAATTCTGCAGTTAGCAGGCCGTTAACCCCCTCACGTCTCTCCCTCTTATTTTGTCTTCTCCCCCTCTCTTTCTCTGTCTCTCTCACAGATACTTCCTCAGCCCATCCTCCATGGCGTCCGCCCAAGAACGAGCCCTCCAGACCCTGAGCTCAGAGTTGGCCCAGCTGGATCGGCAGATCACCGCCCTCCTGAAGAAGCAGGACGAGCTCCTTTGGTGGAAGTCGATGCTCGAAGCCGCCTGGGAAGTTTCCCCCTCGGTGGTTTCGCCACCCTCGTCTTTTCGTACACCAGGAGACATCGTTCTCACACCAGCCTCACATGGTCCGTGGGAACGCCAGCGCCGCAGAGGGCTTTGCAGACCTTCACTGCCACCCCAGCCGATCTTCACCTCCTGCAACCGTTTCACCGTCCTCAGTTCACCTCCTTCACCTACGTCCCGGGCCTCGCCGCCCGCCCCAGCGCCCCAGACCTTGTCACCCGCCCCAGCGCTTCGTCCCTCTGCACAGGATTCCGTTTATGTTATCGGTAGTTCTATTGTCCGCCACGTTAAAGTAAAAGGAATAAACAGCCATGCCACTGTTTCTTGTTTTCCAGGTGCTCGTGTCTTAGACATAGCCAAGCGTCTACCCTCGGCTCTCAGCAGACGCAACGCCTTCGGGACCGTGGTGATCCATGTTGGGACCAACG